CGGTGGAGCCCCCTATGGGGCCACGAAACGTGTGAGGGGTGTGCCGAAATGGGTGTGCGGGACGCATGCGGGCACACCCACTGGGACCTTCGGTGGAGCTCCCTATGGGGCCACGAAACGTGTGAGGGGTGTGCCGAAATGGGTGTGCGGGACGCATGCGGGCACACCCACTGGGACCTTCGGTGGAGCTCCCTATGGGGCCACGAAACGTGTGAGGGGTGGGCCGAAATGGGTGTGCGGGACGCATGCGGGCACACCCACTGAGACCTTCGGTGGAGCTCCCTATGGGGCCACGAAACGTGTGAGGGGTGTGCCGAAATGGGTGTGCGGGACGCATGCGGGCACACCCACTGGGACCTTCGGTGGAGCTCCCTATGGGGCCACGAAAACGTGTGAAGGGTGTGCCGAAAATGGGTGTGCGGGACGCATGCGGGCACACCCACTGGGACCTTCGGTGGAGCTCCCTATGGGGCCACGAAACGTGTGAGGGGTGTGCCGAAATGTGTGTGCGGGACGCATGCGGGCACACCCACTGGGACCTTCGGTGGAGCTCCCTATGGGGCCACGAAACGTGTGAGGGGTGTGCCGAAATGGGTGTGCGGGACGCATGCGGACGGCAGCACTGGGGCCTTCGGTGGAGCTCCCTGTGGGGCCACGAAACGTGTGAGGGGTGTGCCGAAATGGGTGTGCGGGACGCATGCGGGCACACCCACTGGGACCTTCGGTGGAGCTCCCTATGGGGCCACGAAACGTGTGAGGGGTGTGCCGAAATGAGTGTGCGGGACGCATGCGGGCACACGCACTGGGACCTTCGGTGGAGCTCCCTATGGGGTCACGAAACGTGTGAGGGGTGTGCCGACATGGGTGGTGATAATGATGATGACGACAGATGATGATGACGATGACGATGATGGGGATGATGACGATGATGATGAAGATGGGAGGAGGGAGGGGGCAGCGGGAAGGAAGGAACGCGGGGCGACGTCTCTTCAAAACGAGGACCCAACACCACAGGATGGTTGGGAAAAATGTGAATCGTGAGAATAAGAAAATTAATGGTCTGAAATATCATACTAATCATATGAATACCCATGAAGGTTGCCGGCCCAACGGGCCAAGCGCGTGCTAAGACCTTCGGCAACTTATTAACAATAGTTCTAAATCGCGCGCGCGCGGGGCCGCCCCTGGGGGTCCCAGGACAAAAAATACCCCCGCAAGTCCTGGCAAGGTCCCAGCAAGATCCCAGGCAGGTCCCTGGCAGGTTCCTGGCAGGTCCCAGCCAAGCCCCAGCAGGCTCCCAAGAGCGCTCCAGGAGCGCTTCAAGTGGCCTCCGAGAGAGCTCCACATGGTCCGAGACGGTCCAAGAGCGATCCAAGACGCCAAAAATTGCCTCCAGACAGCCCAAAGCGCCTTCAAGACGCCCCAAGAGGCCTCCGAGAGACCTCCCAAGAGGGCTCACAGAGGCAGAAATCAGTGATTTGCTTTAGTTTCTGACGGTGTTGGGCGTTCTCGCCTTCTCGGCTTACCTGCGCTCCAAGACGGCCCAAGAGGCTTCCAAGACCGCCCAAAGACGGCCCACGAAGCCTCCAAGAGGGCCCCAAGACGGCCCAAGATGGGCCCAAGACAGCCCAAGAGGCGCCCAAGACGGCCCCAAAGAGCCCCAAAACAGCCCCAAGAGGGGTCCAAGAAGGGGACCAGGAACCGACAAGTCCAGCCTTCAGCCCCAAGAGGCCCCCAGGAGACCCCAAGAGGCCCCCCAGAGGCCCCAAGGGGCCCCCAAGAGGCAGCCCAAGAAGCCCCCAGAGGCCCCCAAGAGGCCCAAAAAGGCCTCAACACGGCCCCCAAGAGGCCTCAAAACTGCCTCCAAAAGGCCCCTGAGAGGCCAACCACGAGAGCCCAACCAACATCCGTGAAGCCTCTGACCCGCCACCCACCGCCTCCGAAAAATGGCAGCCGTCCAACCGCACTGCATTGACAACAACACCCCGACAAACATGAGCAAAGCGATTACAAGTAATAGTAATAGCAATAGCAATTAAAATAACAAACCAGAAGCATACACATCATCAGCATCATCATCAGCACCATCAGCATCATCATCATCATCATCATCATCATCATCATCATCATCATCATCATCATCATCATCATCATCATCATCATCATCAGCATCATCATCATCAACAACAACATCAACATCACCATCAAAATTATCATCATAATCATCATCATCCGCATCAGCATCAGCCTCATCAGCATCAGCATCATCAGCAGCAGCATCATCATCATCATAAGCAGCATCATCATCACCATCAACAGCATCACCATCAGCATCATCATCAGCAGTACCATCATCATCATCATCATCATCATCATCATCATCATCATCATCTGCATCATCAGCATCATCATCATTGTCAGCATCAGCAGCACCATCATCAGCATCATCAGCAGCATCACCATGATCAGCATCGTCATCATCATCATCATCATCAACATCATCATCTTCATATTCATGAGCATCATCATCATCATACTTATCAGCATCATCATCATCAACATCATCGTCATCTTCGTCATCGTAAGCAGCAGCATCATCAGCATCATCAGCATCATCTTCACCACCGTCATCATCATCAGCATCAGCATCATCATCCTCATCGCCATCCCCATCCGCATCAACATCAGTAGCATCATGCTAAACTCAGCATCCTCTCCCCCCCCTCTCATCCACCTCATGATAATCATCAGCAGCATCACAATCATCATCAGCATCGCCATCGTCATTGTCATCAGCATCATCGCTATCATCATCAGCAGCAGCATCGTCATCATCACCATCATCAGCACTAGCATCATCTTGATTATTCCCATCCTCATCATCACCATCAGCAGCATCATGACAACCATAATCAACATTATCAGCAGCAGCAGCAGCAGCCTCGTCATCATCAGAAACAGCAGCAGCATAATTATCGTCATCATCATCAGAATCAGCAGCATCATCAACACCACAACCACCATCATCATAATAATCATCAACATCACCATCATCGTCATCATCATCGTCGTCGTCATCGTCGTTATGATCATCCGAATCAGCACAGAATCGTCGTCATCATCTCCTTCGTCGTCCCCCCCCTCATCCTCATTGTCGTTATCATTATCATCCGCCCCCGCCTCCTCCTCCACCTCCTCCACCTCTTCTTCCTCTGCCACCTCTTCCCCAACCGTACAACACCTGCCGAGGCCAGCTACATCTCTGCCCGATCCTGCGATCCCTCCTGGGACTGGTCCTCCTCTTTCCCAACCTCTTCTCCTGCTTCCCCAACCCCAACCCGTCCTCCTCCTCTTCCTCCTCCTCTTCCTCCTCCTCCTCCTCCTCCTCCTCCTCCTCCTCCACTCCTCCTCCTCCTCCACCTCCTCCTCCTCCTCCTCCTCCTCCTCCCTCCTCCTCCTCCTCCTCCGCCCCTCCTCCCTCCTCCTCCTCCTCCTCCTCCTCCTCCTCCTCCTCCTCCCCCCACCCGTCCTCCTCATCCTCCTCCTCTCCTCTTCCTCCTCCTCCTCATCCCCCTCCTCCTCCTCCTCCTCCTCCTCCTCCTCCTCTCCAGTCCTGCTCCTCCTCCTCCTCCTGCACTTCCTCACTCCTCCTCCTCCTCCTCCTCCTCCCCTCCTCCTCCGCTCCTCAGCCTCCTCCTCTTCCTCTTCCTCCTCCTCCCTCCTCCTCCTCCTCCTCCTCCTTTCCCCCTCCCTCCTCCTCCTCCCCTCCTCCTCCTCCTCCTCCTCCTCCTCCTCCTCTGCTACCCTTCCTCCTCGTCGTCCTCCTCCTCCTCCTCCTCCTCCTCCTCCTCCCCCTCCTCCTCCTCCTCTGCCTTCCTTCTCCTCCTCTCCTCCTCCTCCTCCCTCCTCCTCCTCCTCTCTTCCTCCTCCTCCTCCTCCACTCCTCCTCCTCCTCCTCCTCCTCCTCCTCCCCTCCTCCTCCTCCTCCTCCTCCTCTCCTCCTCCTCCTCCTCCTCCCTCCTCCTCCTCCTCCTCCTCCTCCTCCTCCTCCTCCTCCTCCTCCTCCTCCTACCTCCTCCTCCTCCTCCTCCTCCTCCTCCTCCTCCTCCTCCTCGCTCCTCCTCCTCCTCCTCCTCTCCTCCTCCCTCTCTCCTCCTCCTCCTTCCTCCTCCTCCCCTCCTCCGCCTCCTCCTCCTCCTCCTCCTCCTCCTCCTCCTCCTCTCCTCCTCCTCCTCCTCCTCCTCCTCCTCCTCCGCCCTCCTCCTCCTCCTCCTCCTCCTCCTCCTCCTCCTCCTCCTCCTTGGGCGTTTTCGAGCGTGAATCTCGAAGCTGACCTGGCCTCGACGACGACAACGCCCAGAGAGGGCTCAACAACACCCAGACACCTCTCGAACCACGATCCCCGATCCCTGCCTAGAAGAAACAGAACGGGCACAAGCATACATATACATATATATATATATACACATATATATACACATACATATATAAAGAGAGACAGAGAGAGCGAGAGATGTACATATACATATATATATATATATATATATATAGCACGAGCTTTCGGAGGTCCGCGCTTATCCTTCGGATCGGCGCCAGACCCCCCTCCCTGGCGCGATGAGCACGCAAGGGGCGACGCCGAAGGCGCCGCCAGGGGAGGGCACAGCTCTGGTAAAATTCATGATTAGGCGCAGTCGTCGTCCTCGAGACTGCCGTTGTCGTCGCGGTCGTCGTCGTCGCGGTCGTCGCCGTCGCGGTGATTAAGCTTCGACTGCCGTCGCCGTCGCGGTCGTCGTCCTCGAAACTGACCGGCGTTCGAGCCGCGCCCAGCCGTTTGAGACGAGGGAGGCCCTTGCCCCCTCCAATCCTGTTGTCCGGAACCAGTGCTGGGCCACCTCAGCCTCAGCCCCCCAGACGGCTCCATGCCTTTCGAACCTCTATCCTGGACCCCCGCCGCCGTTGTCGCGGTCGGCGTCTTCGGCGGCGGCGGCATGGCGGGGCACTTGTGGTAGTCTTTCTCGGGCAGCGTCCAGCGCGGCTTGGCGTCCTCGGCGCCCCCAGCGCGCAGCACCCGGGCCAGGCGGAATCTGGGGGGGCGGCGCCAGGAGCGGCGCGGGCAAAAGCAGTGGGACAGGGAGGAGGAGGAGGAGGAGGAGGAGGAGGAGGAGGAGGAGAAGGAGGAGGAGGAGGAGGAAGAGAACAAGAAACGAACCAACGAACCCTATGGTGCGCGTCTGAGTTTGCCTGAACTCCATCGGCTGGTGGACGGGGCGCCGTGGAAGTAGGGTGCCCACAAAACCTTTTGCTCGCGAGGGGAGGAGGACAATGGGACGCACAAATACATACTAGTACTACATGTCCTCCTGGGAGGCCTGCGCCCGATCAAAACATATAGTATACCCATATTGTAGCACATCGTTTCCCGAGCGGTGTGGCCAGAAAGCGCCCGCCTCGACGCATACGCTAGAAGATTTCTCGGCGCTCGCGTCGCCCAGAGGGGGGGGCGACGCACACATAGTATTCGTATATTGGGGTGGCGCCGATGGCAATGACGATGACGAGGAAGAGGAGAACGAAGATCGAGCGTTCAGATGCCTCCGAAGCCTCCAGGGGTCGCGGCAAGCCTAACACAACGGCACCCCGTGACTTCCAGGGGCGAAGCTCGTGAGGGGAGGGAAGGCGGACGAGGGGTGCCCACAGACACCTTTGCTCGTGAGGGGAGGAGGACGACGACGATGACGAGGAAGAGAAGAACGAAGATCGAGCGCTCAGATGCCCCCGAAGCCTCTGGGGATCGCGGGAAACCTAGGACAACGGCACTCCGTGACGTCAGTTGGGGCGAGGACGGGTGGGGGGGGCACGGCCGGGACAGGCGCCGAGACGCCAGCCTCGGGGGGGCCAGGCTGGCCTGGCGTGGCCGTCGCAAAGGTGGCGGGCCCAGATCTCAAAGCTGACGCGGGCGTACAGTCGGAGCCGATTGGACACTATTTGTTCGCGAGCACGCAGGAGAGCCAGGCGCCGTGAAGAAACGCGGCTAACGAGCAGCGGGCGAAATTCTGCACAAGAGCGCACAGGAGCGAGCTACGCTGCGGCTCAAGCGGCGGACCTAGTGAAATCACAGGTCGACGCGCAGCACCAAAATGGTTCTTGAAGTCCGCGTACACGAAGACGACGAACGGGCGTGCAGGCGTTCAACGGACAGTTCCGAATCGCCAAAAGGGGGAGGGTGCCAGGGGCGGAAGCGTCACCACGGCGGGGAAGCAAGAGAAGCGACGCCAGGGCACCACAGCAGCGGCGAAGGCGACGAGACAGCGGAAAAGGCCACGTCCAGAACTGGAGGCGGCGGCGCCAACCGAGGGGGGCAGGTCGACCCTGGGGAAGCGGCGTGGGGGAGGACCGAGCGTGCGTCGACCCCGAGCGGGCGGGAGCGGCGACCACGGGCGAATCGCAGGCCCAAGAGCCCAGGGGTACCCCGCGATTGGAGAGGATGCGCGAGAGGATACAAGACCATCCGAGGGACACAGTGCCATAGGAATGTTACAAAGCATGGGTCGCGAAACTCTGGACGCAAGGGCACCTTTGATTTGCAAGCATCTCACAAACACTGGGCCGTCAGAGTTCACGCCAGGGCCGTCAACAAGCGTCGGGGACCTGCTGACCCGGGTCAATCCAGACCCGGGTCAGTCAGGCCATGCAGAATCCTGCTAGACCCTGCAAGATCCTGCACCCAAACCTGGGTCAATGCGAAGGATCCTGCAAGATGCTGCAGGATCCTGCACCCAAACTCGGGTCAATGCGACCCTGGCCCTGCACGATCCTGCAAGATTCGGCACTCTAGCTGACCCCCGTTTGCATCGACCCCCGTCTCTGGAGCCCCGAAAGCGGCGGCAGGCTAGAGGCCCGGTAGGCTCGAGTCTCGCATTTTCCCGAAATGGGGGGGAGGAAGGATGTCAGCAGGAAGGAAATGGGGGTCCCGTAGGAGAAGGCCCCAGGAATTCTCGCCGTTCGCCGTTCGCGCCCCGCGGGCCCTTCACAGGCTCCGGGACCAGCGGGAAACGACTCAGGAGAAAGAGCTGGTCCTGGAGAGAGCCCCAGGAAACTGAGGTCCGTTTCCCTCAGGACCCCTCGTCTTCCACGGCGAGAGCAGGAGGAAGCATGACTGAGGGGAACAGCGCTGGTGGGGAAGGGTATTTTCTCTTCCATGCGTGCCCACATCCCTCGATGAAGGCGAGGACGGGATAGAAGTATCATTCCTCTTCTCTGCGTCTCTATTCCTCTTTATCCTGCATCCCTCTGTCCCTCCGTCCCGGTTCCCCCCTCCTCGTCTTTGTTATCCGGCGTTGCGATAACTGGAGCCCGAGACGCCATCCCGTTTTTGTTACCAACCCTCCTGTGTTGGGTTTTTTTCGCTCGGAAAAAATTATAGTCCTGTTGTTTGTCCCCCTGTCCCCTCTTTCCTCGTACATCCTGCCTCGCTGTCCTACCCGGTTGCTCGCTGAGCGGTTGCGACCTGCGAAACTGTCCCCAATTTCGACGGCGTCTGAGGATCCTAGCGGGATGACGGTCTACAGAACATCAAGATTAAAGTTCGCCGTACAAGGGGGCTGCGAGCTGCAAAACCGTCGCCACTTTCAAAAGTTGCCGGGGGGGTCCAATGGAGCGACGTTTTACCACAAACTCAGGCTAGACGTCGCCATCATTGGGGGTTGCGAACAGCGAAACCGTCACCCATTTCGAAGGCCGTGCGGGGGTCCACCAGAAGGACGTCTTACCGCAGAGTCAAGCTAGCAGCTAGACCTCGCCAGCCCTGGGGGTGCTGCGATTTGCGAAACCGCCACCACTTTCGATGACCACTTTGGGGGGCCCACCGGATCGAAATCTTACCGCAAACTCATACGAAACCTCGCCATCCCCAGGGGCTGCGATCAACGTATGTGTCGCCATTCTCGGGGGTTGCGTCTTACCGACGAGTCAAACTAGACCTCGCCATCCCGGGGGGCTGCGACCTGCGAAGCTGGCAGTGCCAAGGACTGTTTGGGGGCTGCGACGGGGTGACGTCACACTGCAGCCTTCAAGCTAGACCTCGCCATCCCCAGGGCCTGCGAACTGCTAAACTATCACATTTTCCGAAGGTTGCTGGAGGGTCTGGCGGAGCAACATGCTTTCGACAGCTGCTGGGGGGTCCACCGGAAAGACGCTTCGTCCGTGGGGGGCTGCGAAGTGGAAGAACCTTCGCCACTTTCGATGGTTGTTGGGGGGTCCAACGGAGTGACGTCTTCCGCAGACGCAGATTAGACCTCGCAGTGCCTGGGGGGCTGCGAACTGCGAAACCGTCGCCATTTGCTTAAAGCGCTGAAGGGCTTTTGCCACATAATCCAATTAGACCTCGCCGTCTTTTGGGGGCTGCGACGTGCGAGACCGTCTCGATTTTGAAGAGCGTTTGAGGGTCCAGCGGAGTGACGTCCCACGCAAAATAATCGATCTGCATGCATCGAGCCCGTTCGATTTCTGTAACCATACAGGTCACGCGCGCCTGCCCTGCATCTCCTACGCCGAAATCCGAACGTTCACGGCATACCTGGGCCTGACCACGCACCACGGAATCATCATCGATGCCAGGCACAAGGACGCTAACGACCTGGACGGCCGCTGGCGGCATCTCTACGCAATGCTATCCAGGGCAACGGCGGTGGATAACATGCTGATGATACGCAGTCCCCGCCTTGATTTCCTTTCCCGCGGGCCGCCCGCTGACCTGGCGTCGCGCCTGCGGGTGCTTAGTTCCCGCACGGTGAAACTGGCGGGCGAGTTCGGCCCCACTCGCTTCTTGCACCAGCTACGAGAGAAAAAGGAGCCCCCTGGAACTTCAAAACGGCATGGCGCGGGCAGCCTCGCTTCTCCAACGTGCCACTGGACAAAGTGCCACCCTCGTTTCTCATCCCGCCTCATTCGTCATCGCCCTCCTCCCCCTTTCCATTGTCTCCCTGATGCTGCCGAACTGACTTGTCGCCCCCCCGTTCTTCCTTTTCCTACCCCTCTCTCCCGCCACCTTCTTCTTCGTTCCCGGGGCATCCGTCCTCGTCTTCTACTGTTGCCCCGCGAGTCGTGCAACGCGCGCGCATCCCATGTGGCTTGCGCAACAAATGGCGGTTCCCGCACGGTCGTTGTACATGCGATGTTGGGCCAGTTCCTCTTCCCACTTAGTGTTTATGGGTCTTGTACGTCGCAGGGTAAATCTCTATATGACCCCATACCTGGGTTGTTGCCCCAGCTTTTTTGCATTAGCTCCTGGTTTGGGGTTGGGCACCCTGGCCTCCCCCAGTCCTCTTCATACCGCCTCCTGACTTCTCTCTTCCCTCCTCCTCACCTCCCTTCTGCCTCTTGCCGATTGTTTCGCCATCCCTGGGGGGCTGCGACATGGGAAATTGCCGCCACTTCCGAGGGTTGTTGGGGAATCCGAAGGGGCGACGCCTTACGCAGACCGAAACTAGACCAGACGAGACTTCTCCATCCTTTTTGCGGGGCTGCGAATTGCGAAACGGCCGCCCCTTTTCGAAGGCCGTTCCGGGCCCAGCGGGGTGACGCTTTCTGCAAGCCCGAACGAAACCTCGCCATCCTTGGGGGGCTGCGATCTGCGAGACCGTCGCAATTTTCGAAAGTTGTTGAATTCAAAAAGTGTGACGTTGTACGCAGACCTAAAGTCGACCTCACCATCCCTTGGAGGCTGCGACTTGCTGAATTGTCGCCACTTTCGACGGCCGCTGGGGGGTCCAGCGGGGTAACGTCTCACACACATTCAAACTAGACCTCGCCATCCCTGGGGGGGGGCTGCGGAATGCGAAACCGTCGCCATTTTCGAAGGCTGCTGGGGGGTCCAGCGGGGGATATGCTTTACGCGCAAAGCCAAGCTAGACCTCACCATGCTTAGAGGGCTGCGATCTGCGAAACTGTCGCACCTTCGAAAGCTGCTAGTGGGTCCAGCGGAGGGACGTTTTACGCAGACTCAAACTGGACATCGCCATGCCTGGGGGGCTGCGATTTGCATAACCGTCGCCATTTTCAAAAGCCGATGGGGGACCAGGAGGCT